GGGGGGTCATATTCCTCTGCGGGGCAACCTGCATATGGCCGATAAAGCATTCACTCAATTCAATTCATTCAATTCAATTCAATTAGAAATGTTGAGTCTTGGTCCTGGGGTATAGAGTATGTGTGGGAAATGTGATTGTGTGTACAGTGTCCATTTCTGTTTGTCTCCTTGTTGGGTGAGTGCCAAGTATTTGCATATGTGTGCATGAGGGTGGGAATGCACGTTTGTGTCTGTGTGTGCCTGGGGCCTGGATCTCCTCCATGCCTGCTTCATACCCTGGGGGACGGGGCTGTGGCCCCCCCCACACCCTCTAACAGATCATTACATGGAGAAACCTTTTTAATACAAGTGCGCCCGTCCGGACAGGTGCGCACACAGCTGTACACACGGGTGTTCACAAACTACACCTTTCTTGGCTGCTACCTCAAAGCCCATTGTGCGCTGTCGCGCTTGAATGCTGCACAACAATTTCAATATTTAGTATTTACTGTTACTTACATTTATTTAGGTTATTGCAGTGATGTTGTGTGTATTGTGTTGCTCTATTTTTGCTTGTTTTCCCTTTTTTTATCTCTCAACAGGTGCCATGGTCCTGGTTTATTTTGACCCAGCGCTCTCAGTTTTCTTGTGTTTTGTATTATTGTTAATTTCATTTGTTATTTTAAGGATTTATTCTATGGTTCCTAGGGTGTTCTGTTTATTTTTGTTTATTAGATTCCCCCCTTGTGTCTTTGCTCTTCCTCACGTTCCTCCATACTCTCTCTCCAGTCTGCATCTCTGTGTACTTCCTGTTTACCTTGACAGTCTGTCATCAGTGTACACAATGTCCCCTCTAAGCTGCGTGCATGCACAATCGCGTACAGAAGATCTGCGTGGCACACAAAAAAAATCTAACCTGAATTGAAATTAAAATAAATACGTTAACAATTCATTCTGTTTTGCAGTGTGAGCCAGTAAGTGACCGGTGACTGGCTGCTCCACCCAATCACGCGATTCACATTCGTATATATGCAGCTATTCAACGTCATTGACAGGCTATGACGGCGTCCTTATGTGCCGACACCGGTGTTTTAGCGAGCAAAGCAGCTGATGTGGAGTGAAGCCACGTTAATGACAACGTGTACAACCATTGGAGATGTGAGCAGGATAGACGGAACAACTGACGGCAAAGTGTGGACTTTATACCAGTTTTTAAATTGTGTTGATCGGCCACGTAAAACCAGAGTTATGATAAAAATATCTGCAATGATTGGTTGTCTTCCTGAACTCTATCGTTGTTTATATTTACTGCGGGAAGAAACAGTAAAAACGCCATTTTATAAGGAAAACACTCGAAAGCCTGTGAGCAAAAACAACACCAACCCCCCCCCAGCCTTTCCTATTGGTGGAAAAATGTACCATGTGGACCAATCAAAAAATGATATGGCAACATGACATTTAGTTGTTTAGGAAGGGGGAAGTTTTAGGAGTGACGGCGTGTTTGAGATGTGAGAGATTTGCACGTTTAGCACAAATCTTGTGTAGTTAGTGTGTAGTGTAGTCAATAGTGTTGTGTGTGTCAGAACAATGATGCGACTGCTGAATGTTGCAGGTGTTACTGCAGTGATAATAATAATAATAATGGATTGGATTTATATAGCGCTTTTCAAGGCACCCAAAGCGCTTTACAATGCCACTATTCATTCACTCTCGCATTCACACACTGGTGGAGGCAAGCTACGGTTGTAGCCACAGCTGCCCTGGGGCAGACTGACAGAAGCGAGGCTGCCATATCGCGCCATCGGCCCCTCTGGCCAACACCAGTAGGCGGTAGGGTAAAGTGTCTTGCCCAAGGACACAACGACCAGGACAGAGAGCCCAGGGATCGAACCGGCGACCTTCCGGTTACAGATACGCTTCCCAACCCCCTGAGCCACGGATACATCTGCTGCTGTCAGGCCTGCAGGTATCAGGCTGTTGTTCTCCTTCATCTCATAGTGGACAGAAATTATTTTTTGGAGCACAAATAATTTGTGTGGCATCAGATTTGATGCAGAACAGCTGATTGTTCTGTAAATAGTCTGAAAGTCTGAAGGCTCTGGATGTTGTACGGCTGTCCTGGTTGACACGCCTCTACAATGTTGCGTGGAGATCAGGGGCGGTACCTCTATTATCCTCTAATGGATATTACTAGGAGAGTTGCCTGTTAAATAAATGTCATAAAGGTTCACATGTTCTCTAGAAGGGGGCTCATATCACGTGAGGGTAGAACACCTTATATGGAACTATAAACACGAACTCGGGGGTTGCCCGTACTGCTGTCAAGGAGCCGAAAAAGAAGGGGTGGAAAAATAAGTTAATAAAATAAATGAATAAACAATGGTCAGAAACGTGATACATATGTTACAAAAGTACAAGTACCAGTGAGATTAAGTAAAGTCAGCTCTTGTGGGGGTAATTGTTCAAAATTTAGTAGAATTTGGCCTTTTGATACTGATATGTCAGTTTTTCCATCCTAAATATCTCTAAAGTGATACCAAACCAGTGATCCAGGGTAGGTTGAACTGGGCTTAACCATCTTTGTGTAATTGTTTTTTACTTGCCACCAAGAGTAATTGCACCAATTTAATCTCACTCCTACCGTCCAGAAAAGTGACCAGACCCATGTGTAGAACCTTCAAATCTAGAAGTATTTGAGTGTTAAAGACTGCGCTTAAGGAGGCCTGGACACCCGTCCAGAAATCCTTTCCTTTCATTGATTTATTTATAAAGCACATTTAATAACAGAAAGTTGACCAAAGTGCTGCACAAAGTAGTAATGAAACAGTGGCAATAACATCACAATAGGTAAGGAAAGTCAAAGGAAATTGGTAACTCTCATTCAGTATAGAAAGCCAAAGAGAAAACATATGTTTTAAGATGAGTAACAGAGTAACAGTTGGGGCCTTTCTAATGTGGAGAGGTCGTTCCACATTTTCCGCGCCACAACCGCAAACGCCCGATCCCCTGTGTGAACCAGTCTAGACTTGCGTAAGGTAAGGAGCAAATGATCACTTGATCGAAGGGCTCTCCAAGGGCGTATAAAGCTGCAAAAGGTCAGACAGATAGTCTGGTGCCCGACCATTTAGCACTTTATAAGTCAAAAGTAAAATTTTGAATTTAATTCTAAAACGCACTGGAAGCCAATGAAGGGAAGCAAGCACAAGAGTGATATGTTGGTGTCTCTTCACACGAGTCAAAAGGCAGGCTGCAGCTTTTTGTACAAGCCGTGCCAGACTGGACCGACTGACACTAACGTGTAGTGAATTACAGTGATCCAGTTGAGATAAGACGAACGCATGGATTGCTCGTTCCAGGTTTTTAAAGGATAAAAATGATTGAATATGGCATCGAGTTCTGGAGACACAGAGACACAAAAAGAAAACTGATGATGATAAACTCTGGACTCATGTTTTAAAATCAGTTGTTCTTCACAGAAACTCAGGAGGTTGTGAGTAGAGCAGGTCCACAGTTTGATCAAAGTAATGTTTGATTCATTTTAGTATCACTGCATTTATAACTGTTGAATGATTGTGGCTGAGCTGGGTGCTTAGTTAAAGTGTGTGCTGTAGAACATAAAGGATCATTCCCCAAGCAGTGAAGCAGCTTAAAAATGATCCAACAACTAAAACTGGTCCATTCAGAAAAGAGCTGCTGCTAAAAAAAGTGCTTCTGCTGGTGTTCTTGTGGTCAGCAAGCTAACTAATGAAGCTCTGCAATGTGAAAGTGTTATTCACAAGCACACAAAAGCGGCTCTCTAAAACCTTCAACACCAAACAGTGTGAACTTTCCATTTAAATGAAGCAAGAAGAACTGTTTTTAAGGATGACTGGGACATAAAGTTTACCAGGACAGCAGATACAGCACTTATTTTTCACTGAACAAAGAAGGAGGCAGCTTTCTTCTGGCAGTTCAGGAACAAACTGCAAGAAGTCTACACTGACCTTTCACCCTTCAGTAAAGGCTCAAACTTGTGTAGAACTATTGCACATTTCTGAGGAGGAAGAGGAAGTGAGAGAAGTCAGACTCAAAGAGGAGACAGAGGGCGACATCATCCAGTAGGCGGGGCTCTCCTTCTGCACTGTGTTCAACCATTGTGTCAATAATAAGTGCTGCTGTGAAGAGAACAATTCTCAGACTGAATGTTGAACATCAGCTAGTTTCTCCTGTTGATTTAAACCTTGTTGTACAGATGGAACATTGGCTGTGGATTATTCTTGCTGCTCTTTTCTTTGGTGAGATACAAACATCAACATGTTTCCTCTCCTAAGGTTTAAGAATAAGATTAGAAACAGGAATTTTAGTCATTTTAAACTGTGGAACTTTTAAATTACTTTTTTATTGTGACGTCTGACAGCAGTCAGTGCAAAGCCAGACTTCACATCTGTCTTTCTGAATTTTTTGTTAAATAGATTTGAAAACCTGTGAACAGGAGAAATATTCTACATGTAATTCTACTCTTTAAAGCTGCTGATTGTTCTCCTTTAGTCAATCATGTTTATTGATCCATCTCTTCCTCTGCATGTTCTGTTCTTCCTCAGAGTGTAAAGGAGAAGACAAAGTGATTCAGGAACAAAGAGATGTCATTGCTGCTGAAGGAGACACAGTTACACTTGACTGTAGATATGAGACCAGTTACACCAGTCCCACTTTGTTCTGGTACAAACAAAAAGTGAACAGTTACCCAAAGTATATGCTCAAATCTTTCTCAGAAACAACAGATAAATCTGAGGAGTTCAACAATGACAGATTTGATGCTGAAGTTGACAAGAAAGAAAAGTCAGTTCCTCTGAAGATCCAGAAGCTTCAGCTGTCTGACTCTGCTGTGTACTACTGTGCTCTGCAGCCCACAGTGACAGGAAACAGCAAAACTCTGTACAAAAACCTTTGGAGCAAAGACAACAGAATACTCCACAACATCCACTAGAGGGAGCCACACACTGTTACACTTGTCTGGTTTGTTTCACCCAGTTAATAAAATGTCTTTTGCATAAAAACCGAAGCTTTAATTCACTTCGTAAAGGAGAGATTTCTCACATAAATGAATCATCCTCTCTCTTCACTGTAGTTTCTTTAAAACTGTCTCTTCATGATCAGATGTGCAGATCACAGCCTGATGGTAGCAGACCTGTTAGTGACTTTTAATCTTCATCCATCATTTTCAGTTTCTCAGATATTTTTACTTACACATATTTCATGAATATTGCACTCGGTCAGTTGGGGCCATCTTCCCAATGTATTCTTGGATGTTCGTTGTCTCATCCTGGACTGTGGTGCTGACACTCACCAGTCCCCGGCCCCCTTCCTTCCGCTTAGCGTACAGCCTCAGGGTGCTGGACTTGGGGTGAAACCCTCCATGCATGGTAAGGAGCTTTCTTGTCTTTATGTCATTGGCTTCTATCTATATATCCCTTCTCTTGTTTGAGAAGGTAAAGCCGGATTTGGAGTCTCCTACTTAGGACGTATGGCTTTGGTTGAGATAAATATTTTGCCTCGATTGTTATATCCTGTCCAAATCATTCCAGTTATATTTTCAAATAGTGTGATGAAGGATCTGAATGGCTGGCTAAGCTCTTCCATTTTTAGCAAACACATACCAAACTTAAGATGGCTACACTACAGCGCCCAGGTTCAGTAGGGGGTCTTTACCAAATATTAGAACATATCAATTGACTCACATGGGGTGTATTCATGCCTGGGTCACAAATAACTCACTCTCTATCTGGTTGGGAATTGAAACTTCCCTTTCGAAGTGTCCACTAAGGGACTTACTGTTGTTACATCGAGCTGTGATAATCCAGTCACACTTCATACACTTAAGGTCTGGCGATCAGTACGCCGAAATGGAGAAGATTTTGGGTTGTGAATTAGAATTGAACCCTGTGTCTCTCATACTGGGCCTCCACAGCCGGCGTTTAACATCCAAGAATAATAGCAGGTTGTATTGTTTTCTCACCCATGTGTGGAAGAATATTCTACTGCAGTGGATGAAGGAAAAAGACCAACTATCAAAGGCTGGCAAAGAGTAGTGTTGGATCTAGTGCCACTGGAATATCTTACATGTGTACTAAACTCAAAAACAGACCAATTCTTCAACAAGTGGAATTACGTGGAACCTGATGTCTGTAATATTAGGGATTCAAACTGCACATTACTACTGGGACCACAGGTATTGTTGTCAGGGTTTGTTGAAGGATGACACAAATGCAGAACGTTCTGAATGGAAAAAAGTGTGTTTATTTACAAAAAGCTATGAAAGAGTGCCAACAACCCACAGTGTGTTCCCAATTCCCAGGCCGAGGTTCCTCTCCTTGATATGTGGTGAAGTTTTGTCCTCCTTGCTGCCTGTGCACACAGTGTGCTGCTCCCTCCACACATTTTCACATTTGACCTAGAAACTAGAGGCGCCACATTCAGTACAGTCCAATCCACCATCTGACAACAACACTTAAACCGCACAGGGGACAACAGAAACCACAACCACATGCGTTGGCCAACTAATTGTGTTCTTGCTCCACTGCTCTCTTAAGTAGGGCTGCTTGATTAGGCAGATCGGCAACAGGTGAGTGATTAATCCCAGGTGTGGCTGGCTCTAAGGCGGGAGACTCCCTGGGCTTGGTGTGGCAGCAAAACCAACATACCATGGTACACACAGACTCGCAACGCACACTCACTCCAACTCATAAACAGAGAAGTGAGGGACCAGGAGCAGATCACACCAACAACCAACCATAAGCACTCCAGAAGACAAAGGAAACTAATAAATATTCATCTAACCCAAACTAACAGGTGACCCCAGGCTCACAGACACAGGCCCATGACAGCTGTACTGTAGTGTGTTTATTTCAGATGGATCTGAGCTGGTGTTTGGTTTTGTGTTTAGTTTTTGGTTTGTTTGTTTGTATTACTGTGAACTGTACATGGTGTTATGTTATGTAATTATCAATTGTTTGTGAAAATGAAAAAAAAAACTAATAAACATATTGTTTAAAAAAAAGCAAAGAACATAAACAAAACTTTATCACGGAGTCACCCGATTCTGGACCGTGCCAGTCATGGAAGACACTCAGTCTCCTGTAAAAAGAAAAGTACTGAATGTGGTCTGGTGGCCTGGTCATCAGTTATCAATAAATGAACTCATGTTGCTGCCTGATTCCCAATAACCAATAATCATGCTCATATATACAATATTTGATATCATTATTACACTCAGCATTAACCTTTACAAGCACCTTAAATTTCATTAATTATTTAAATCAAAACAAGTGCTACAGAATGTATATGATCTATTAAAATTACTATTATAACTATGATAATAAGAATATTCTAGTCTCTGTATTCATAAGTGAAATATGCCAGTATGTATGCACAGCACATATGTCCCTGTGAATTTCTGGTGAAATATGACTGTTTGCATTAAAGCAGGGGTGTCAAACATACGGCCCGTGGGCCAGAACAGGCCCGCAAACAGGTTTAATCCAGCCTGTGAGATGATTTTGTAAAGTATAAAAATGAGCAGCAATTTTTCAATAATGAAACTGCTGTTCCAATTGTGTCCATTGGATGGCGCAATAGCAATTGTGAGCTACTTTGTTTTGCCTACAAAATTTAAACCTGTTGTGCTTCGGCACCCTCATTGCCCCATAATTGCAGCTCTGGAGGCCAGGATTACTGAATTGGAGACTCGGCTTCACACCCTTCATTCACCCGTAGCTAGCCAGGCCCCTGTAGCTGGTGCAGCCGAAGATAGCGTAGGCCCCGCTAGCTGTTCCTCG